TAACTGGCTTTTCCGGGCTTCTGCTATTTGGGCGGTGTGCAACAGACAGTACACGTTCGGTTCTATACTGCTTTTTCGCATAGTTTTTTTTCTGCGCTGTTTTCTCCATTAAACAATAATAGGGCACGTACGCACACACAAACGCACTCACTCAAGTAGAGAGAGAGAGAAGGAGCACTAACTTAGTGACTGCATACTGTAGATGAGAGCAGTGCCCGGCGGCATGCCTATAGTATGCTATTGCACATGGCAAAAAAAAAAAAAACAGTATACGCAGTCCACGACAGATTCGTAAAACATGCATAACACACTAAGCATTTACCTGGATGAGAAAAGTGTCTCTATGGCTAAACAGCGAGGCCATATTTATTTTTATTTATTTATTTATTTATTGTACCCTCAGGGCTTTACAGCATTGCAGAGGGGAGCGGGCACTGACGAACAATGTTAAAGAAAAGAATACATAGACAAGACACTAGAACATTATTAAACACTGGAAAGCAACTATTATCAACTGCAACTATGTTATACAGCCAGTCGATTATACAAGAAAACTAACAACAAAATCAAACGTTTACATTTTCAACACCAAGTATGTTATCGAGCGATGTTTTAAAACTGCAAGGCGAGGTGATCGATGCAACTGATTGTGGGAGGTGGTTCCAATCCTTGCAAGTTTTAGGCAGGAATGAGTGGGAATATGTTGATGTCTTGAAGCGAGGAACAGCAACTTTCTGCGCATGGTCAGTACGAGTTGAAATGTATGACGGTGGGGTTATTAAAAGTGAACGCAGAAGGGAGTTGTTGTAAATTTTGTGGAAGAGTACGCGACGGGTTATCTTACGGCGGATATAACATAGTAACCGCCAAGGCCTGCCGTCTCATGGATTGAGAGCACGCGAATACGTATGTGGGCTCATATTGGCGGTGAGTATAGCTGGATGCACCCAACTGCTGCGGCGCGTGCCCGTTTGTGATGATTTATGGTGCGAGGTGAACTTGCTGTAAACGGCTCCGCTGCTTGGAAGATTCGGTTACTGCCAAGGAAACATAGAGCAGCGCAAAAAAGGCGCAGAAAGACGCCTGTGTTACGTTGAGCGGCAATGTATCCATAAAGGACGAAGCGACGCTCGCATCCGGGAAACAAGGATGGTTTACGCGGTAAATCTTCGCTCTGGCCGAATGTACTTCAGCTTGCATTGATAGCAAGCAGTGACCCGAACTGTGGCCTCCGAATGTACTTCAGCCGCATTAATAGTGACCCGAACTGTGGCCTCCGAAGCCCCAGAAAAAAAGTGAATGGGCCGATGCTGGGCACCAATAGTTTATAGGCGCCAAGTGTAGTGCGTTTCCGAGATGTACCACGGCTGCATGCAAGATACGATCGTTTAAGAGCCGTTCACAGTAGGACGACCGGCCTCTGTCGGAAGGGGTATATACGCAACACCGGCTTGAGTTATGACCGCTTTCAGAAGAATGCAAAGGCGTTATTGCGTCTTTTGTTTTGTTTTTGCGATTTCCCGGACACTTCGAATAACCTCGCCCATTCTCCTCGATTATGCGTTCTCTGTTCTTTCTACCGCGCTTTCCGCCAATCGCGCGCAGATTGGCAAACCGGAGCCCCGTGCTTGCTTAATTGAAGCGAATCTTAATGAACCGAAAAATGTGGCGGGACCAAAAGCTGCTATAAAGCAGCTTGACTGGCTCCTAGTGTACCTGCAAAAGCGCTGTAAAAAGCAATGCCGTTTAAAAAAAGACTTCAATTAAGATAATGTGAGCACATAATTTGGTTACGTTGATTCGACTGCTAAATCAAGCATACGATAAATAACCAGCGTACATTTCACTCAGCGGCCTTTAGTTCGCTCTCTTGAAAGAGACGACCTCGTGAATTGTATCTATTCGTGTATGTGTGTGTTCTCATTGGGATACATTACGAATCGAGGGCTCTGCTTTTTTTTTTTTTAGACGCTATTTAATGAGACGAACAGGCTGAATGAAACTCTACGCCTTGATGGCGCAGTGTCCACCGCCTTGCAAAGCGTCCTTCGGCTGGTCGTCTCTGTTCAATGGAACGTCGTACATGCATGTGTATGAACTAGCTCGAGCACTCTGTGAGCGAGATGTGTGACGTACGATGCGGAAAATGTAAATTTATGGGCCCCACCATCTTGGGATTTCGCGTGAGCCAATGATTTATCGGTTCTATTATCGTGACGTAAAAGTAAGGAACTGATGATACGCCGTTCGTGCGCAGACGTCTTTGTTCGCATAATAAATACTACCACGGTATTGTTCGTTTATGGAACTAGATGTGTGAAACTGCAACGTTGACATTTCAGCATGACGGCACTTCAACGCGCATCCTTAAAGAAACGAGAGGGAAGCGTGTGGGTAAGCTGTACTAACGTGAAGGAGGAGGCATGCAGTGTTTTTTTTTTCTCTCTCTTTGGTTCCCTACGGCGAATGGGGAAGGGTGTCTCTGCTCCACTAAAGTCGTCAGCCATTTCTTGGACCTCCTTAATTTTAGTAGACCGGTGGCGAGTAGGAGGATCTACCCAAATTCTGTGGTGATTACCCGTTACTGCGATGGAAGGTGACCACACGTGACACGCCGTGACGACAGTAGACTCCGACAAGCCGAGACCGTGGTGCTACGCCACGTCATGATTGCGTCACAAATTTTGTCGATCTTTGTGTCGTCATGGTGCCATGATAGAATGACGTCATCACTCGAAGTTAACTTTATCGTAGACCGTGACTACACATGACCCGCCGCGACGACATTAGACGCCGACAAGCCGAGTTTCTAAGGTACTTTACATCGTGCAGCTACGGAATACCGATTGTTGCGTAACGTGACGAGGGGGAGCATACATTGGAAGGCTCGCAGGAGCTGTAGTTTACCGCGCCAGTGGCTCGGCTCAGTCGAACGGACAAGCCTGCCCTCGTTTTTTTTTTTCCAGCGAGAACGGTCCTTCCGCGCAGTGAGAGTGGGCGCGAGTGAAAAACCGCTTTACAGGAGAGTTTGTGGGCGACTGTGGTCTGCGCTGTGTAGATGTAATTGGTGGGCCGAACTTGTGGTGCATTCGTTTACGGGCAGAAGACGGTACGAATGCCTGCAAATGAGGACACAAGAGATGAGAAACATTGAGACAATGCAAATGGCGTTTCGTTTGTGCGTTCAAAGGAAGGCGTTCTGTAGAAGGACACTGCTTGGGCGCGCAGCATTAGAAGTTTACAAGAATTTATCCAGTCTCAAAGAGCCTACAAGACATGAATTCTACGGCTGAGCTCTGTTTCTTAGCTGGTTAAAACTTAACAGATGCAACCTTCTCTCGCAGCCTTCGATGTCGCACCCAGAGAGAATTTAGCTAGGCATTCCATCCAATCATACTCGCTCATTTCCATGACGTCAAGCACCGACTACAGTCGCTACAATGCGTGCCTTAATCTATTCATACAGCGTTCGTCTGCCTTTCGCATTGACTATCCGTCTTTCCGCACGAGTATTCTTCTCTGTTCAACAAACTGTCGCGGTTCGCAACTTTATACTGCGTCGTTTCTAGCTTATCTTCAACGTCTGGTTCTTATACAGCGTGTAACGCCAATAAATCTTTCAGTGACGAGTCAGCGCAGAGCCCGATTTATGTCTCGCATTCTTGCGCACTGTCCCATACGCGGAGGGTAACTCGTACAGCCCGTATGTCGCACATTTGCACTGTTCTGCCCGTCGCTTTCTCGTCTGCAACCGAATTTTCTGGAACCATTCGTCTCGATAAATGTCTGCTCCAGACAAAGATTGAAAAATACTCACTGCTTCCATTAGATGCCGGCATCGGAACCATGAACCACTTGTCAACACAACAGCGGGGCAGCCGTTTTAACATATAAGCGTGTGTGGAGATGACGTGCAATGGTATAGATGAATATTCTCGCTCTAATGCAGCTGCGTATGTATGCCACTGGCTGTCAAAACCACGGTGGGTGCTCAACGCGAGATAGAACAGACTGTGTCTATAATTTCCTTAATCTAACTGCCGTGGTGACTTATCAGGTGTGATGCGCTGCTAAGATTCGAGTTCACGGCGGCCCCATTTAGATGGGTGTCAGAGATAAAAAAAAAGAAAAAAAAATAGCCGCCTAATCTTCTGTATGTGTGAGCGTGTGGTAAAAAAAATTCAATGTCCATGACTACGGCGTGCATCATAATTGCCTACCGCACAGTCTAAGGGAAATAAATGACTATTTTTTGCTACGTAAGCATAATCGCCATCTACCTAGCGTACAATCCTTGCATTAACACCGCGGTCGTGGCATTTCCAGGTTGCGAAAGGTGTGTGCCTTACTAGCGTGGTGAAGCACCCTTGATAGTGGCGAGCCGAGAGCCGGGTTTTTCAAGGTATGAACCACTAGGAAGCCAGATGAACGATTATATATTTGTGTGAAAGCAATACACCCCAAATAATCTGTAGTTCTTCTTAGACTTGGCACGCGGATGCCTAGTATTAAATAGTCGAGTTTAACCGCACCGTCATACGCTGGCGTGCACGTTCTCTCGAGTGCTGGCGTCAAAGCTAAAGACGGCATCCAGATGGGGTGAACGGGCTCACCTGTCTTCGTTTAAACAACTGTGGCCGTAATTGATGACGTGCCTTGGAAAAAAAAACGAGCGACACGTGTGGCTCCCGCTAAGCCCTCTGGAATAATCCGACTCTACCTGAGTTCAGTTATCCGGCCGATTGATTGGTACCAGTCGAAGTGCCCACTGTAGACGACGACGAGGAAAGGAGGGGGGGGATGGCAGCTGCCGGAACCGGTGCTTTGTTGTGCGCTCCGCAGCTGTCCGGACTTCCGGCGCGTTGCGTTCGTAAGGGGGAAAAAGAAAAAAAAAAAATCCGCGTGTGCGGTGTTGTGTGTGTGCGTGAACACTCTGGAAGGGGGAGAAGGCATAGCGTACACCGCGAACAAGGCGGCGCCTAAAATACTTTGCTGCGCAGGCGGCGTCCCCTGGCGGCGGAGCACTTTTCTCCTCCCGGCGGCGGCCAGACGAGAGCCGGCATGCGGCCGGTTCGGTCCTGGCAGCAGCTCGCCCGCTGTGCCCGAGGAATGTCGTCGCCGCAACGAAGGCCGCCCGACGCCGCCAGCTAGGAGGATATGCGACTTCGCGGCCCCTGGCTGTTGTCGCCGCTGCAGCTCCTCATCCCGCTGCTGCTTGCGCCGCCGCCCTGCGTCGACGGTGAGAGATCTTCTTTATGGCTGCGGGTGTGTGTGTGTGTGTGTGTCTTCTCTCACTCGATGAATCTCCGGGACGTTGTTATAAGGCAGCTGCGACAGCTCCACGGGGTCCCGTCGGCAGCTTCTTCTGCTGACCCGGCGACATTTATGGGGCGCGCTTGTGGTGCTCGCCTTCTTCCAAGCTCTGTCAACCCGCCGTCTGAACGGCGTGTGTGCCGCCCACACCTCGTACGAATTCGCCTTCTCAAGAGTTCGAGGGCGTGCTGCGACGGCTCGCACGTGCAGCTGCGGCCTTTTCTGGGCGCCCCCGTCGAACGGCCCACCGGCGGAGGCCCTCGCTTATGGAACACGTCGTCTTTCGGGACGCCGTCGGAATATAAACGAAAAAAAAAAGTGTGACGTACGGCTGCGATCAGGGGCGGAGGGCGCGTGGCATTTAGCGAAGCGCGCTATCTTTGAGCTACCTGCCTACGCCGGTTCACGCATGCTCAGTGGGGTCCCCTCTCCTCCTGGCGAAGGTTCTTTATCGCGTGCTTAGCGAGTCGAAGCACGTATCCCAGGTACGCGTCGTCGGCTATGCCAAGCGCGTCTGTTTTTTTTCGGCGGCTCCGGCGAGTCTGCGGCAGAAACACCGCGGGATAGCGGCGATCCTCGATGCCCGACTTTTTTTTTTTGTCTTTTACTCGCGTCAATATTTTTTTTCCTTTTCCGCGAGGTGGACGACGTGAGAGCGAAAACTTTCCACTCGTGTCCTCCTCAGGTGCAAGTCTCGTGTGCAGTTCTTTCTCGAAGCTCAGTCTGACCGAATTGTCTTCCGACGATGGCCAACGAAGCGAGTGCTTGTGGAGGCCTGCCGTTAATGTCAGAATCGATTGCCGATATCGCCGGTTCTTTTTTCTCGCGCCACTCGGGATTCCAGTCACGTAGAAATGTTCGCGTCGTATTCTGTCAAGATTCCTTATACCGCCCGACAAGCGATGCTACGCAGACTGCTTTCAAGCAGCCCTTGGCGTCGTCCCGCGAATGTTCAGTCTTATCAATCGAGCGTGGTCACTTCCTTTGCTGTGTACCCGGCAGGGTGATCTATAGCGGTGCTCGACGACCCACCCGACCGCGTTTTCGGTGGAGCCGAAGATCCTTGAGGGCCATGTGCTTTATGATTTAGGTGCACGTTAAAGAGCCCCAGTTACTCGAAATTTCCGGGTCATTTCACTACGGCGTCTCTCATAATTGAGTGGGGGTTTAGGTAAGTAAAACGCCAATTATTTGCCATCCGAGACGACCCTGCGAAGCGAGTGGTTTGCAGGGCCATTCTTGCCACAGTTCCACATCGTATTAAGCGGGTGCTCGTATGGTCGGGTATTTGGATTGCAAACCATTCCCTCGTGCAGTCCATCCCCCTTTCACTCCGCCGCGGTGATCGAGTGTCCTGGAGGGCTCACCGGCCTGGTGCGTGATCGAGCCGTGCATGCGCTTGGATTTAGGGGCACGTTCTGGGAATCCAGATGGTCCAAATTTCCGGAGCCCTCCGCTGCGGCGTCTCACGATTGCATCGTGGGCCTGAAACCTCGACGGTTATCTGCATTACGCGTGTAAGAACAGCGCAGCACACGAGGACTGCCGAAGAACACACACGTGGTCGCTCTTCTGTCCTGGTCTCTTGCGCTGTTGTGTCCTGCCGACGTACCCACCCTTCGTAGAATTATTTATCGGCCTTTCGTCGCCGTCCATCCCGAGTAGGCGTCGATGGGTGAAATCGCATTTCGATCGGTGGAACTCGTCGGCATTCCGTTCGGACGGCGCTACCCACGCACAAACATCCGCGACGGGATCCCGCCAGCCAGCTGTTAAAATCGAACCATGGCGTGCTTCAGTGTGAGTTGGCTCGCTGACTCACCCGAAGCCGCTTCCTCTTTGCTGCTTTTTTCTGTACATTTCAGCGAATGCAGATCCCCTTGCTGATTTTTTTCGCGGTGTTACTCCACTGAAATCTGAGCAGATCGGCTTTTGATTCTCTCCTCCCCTCTGGTGTTCTATATATATATATTGCTGTTTATGGACATGAACCGGGCATGTAGGCAGGATAGCCGCTGGTCCAACTGACTGGATTCCCGGGGAAGGCGATAGCACGAAGGGAAGACAGAAAGTTAGGTGGTCCGACGAGATCCAAAAGTTTGCAGGTATAACGAGCTAGCAGAAAGCACAAAAACGGGTTGATTGGCGGATCATTGGAAAGGTATTTGCCCTGCAGTGGGTGTAGTCGGGCTGATTATGATGGTTATTTAGACGGATAGACCGTCTGCGACAACTGTGTGGCTAAACTGTCTCTTTCCTTGAGAAAAGTTGTGCCTAAAGGCAGACTTCTGAAAAAAAAATTAAAAAAGGAAGAGAAGGTGCTTGGATGGGCATATTTGATGTTTTCGGTTTAATTAACGGTGAGCCTGCGGTTTCGCTCTTTGTATAATACTCGTTTTTTTTTCAGTTAGTATGCACTTCTCGCGCAAATTTTCTTCGTCTTGTCCGATCTTTTTTTTCGCTATTTTTCGTTTCATCATAGTTGCTTCTTTCTTTCTGTAAAGTGTGGTTCGCAACGTTTTGAAAGCCGCTACGTTAGCGTCAGCCTCTGAGAAGTGCATCAGAGGTTGCCCGCCGTGGCAGCTAGCGTATAGCACGACGAGTGTTGCGTAATTGAACCCGTCTTCCTGTATTCGGGGGTCTTAATAAGAACTAACAGGTAGTGTATGGGACCTTGTCCGTAGTTATGTGTAATGCGAAGAAAGGAAAGAGGACGCAAATATCTGATTTGCCGCTGGCAGGGACCGAGATTCAGTTCTTCGTTACTGCCCAAAACATTTTTATTTTGACGTAGCAGCGGTGTCCTGATCCCCGACGAAACTTGCGAAGCCGCTCGAGTTACCTAAACCAGAGGCACAAACGTGCATCTTCACCCACTGGAAACGCCAATTCTTGACACATATCTGGAAATCAGTGTAAAGATTTCGCTCTTTGGAAACTCCGGCGCGTTATACTGCGTGCATCGCCCCCTTCTGAGGTTTCACGTAAGCGGAGTTGAAACACCCTTTCTTAATGCTCATCGGCGTATTTTATCTCACGCAATAACTTGATTACTTAAGTACAGAATTGAACACCACTCGATTCGTTATTCGATACTTTCGAATATTCGAACACCCTTGATAATGTGAGCTAGCTGTGTCCGAAAATACGACGCTGTCTCTGACAAATTAGTATTTTAGCCACTTTGCGCGACACAAATGAGCACACGAGGAAAAGGAGCACACACGGAGGAGGAATGTTATTATTACACCTGTCATAGCCCTTGTAGATTGGTGTTCTCGTTACACGTTTATATTACGAGGATCGCTTGGGATGCATGGTGTTGTCAAAATGTCGTAAATGAAATGGTTCATTTTCAACAGTTATAACTTTCTGCAAAACTAATGTAATTAAAGCGAAATATGGCTCGGTGGTATTTAGGGAACGCTGTCGCGAAAACATAGGTCCAGGTTCACAAATTATTCCTCGGTGATTTTAGTGTCGTTAATTTTGCCGTCACATCAAAACCCAAAATGTTTGTAGAAAACTCGCCGCGGTAGTCTATACTGGTCATGGCGGTCGACAGGTGTCCCGCACGTCGCGGGATCGAATCCCGGCCGCATTTTCGACGTAGGTTTGGGAATGCTCGGGGACCGCGGGTTCAGGTATAGGTGCTCGTTATAAAGAACTGCAGGTGGTCGAAATTTGCTGAGCCCTCGCTACGGCGCCTCTCACAATAATTGTGGTTGTTTTGGAACGTTAAACCCCACATGTCAGTCGGAGAGTGCAGGACCGGGTCGATTGGCGGAGCATGAAAGGGGCCTTTGCCCTGCAGTGGGCGTAGTCAGGCTGTTGATAATAGATGGACAGGACAGCCCCCTCAATATACCTGCGCGACGAGCGATGCAACACAAGTGTACTTGCGTTTACTGTGTTTTCGCTTAGTTTGTGTTTGCATCATTATCAGCATCTCCGTTAGCCTATACTTCATATCCACAGCGGGACGGACTCTCCGAATAATATTCAATTTGCTGTCTCCTGCGCTAGCTTATTTCAGTGTCTTGGTGAACAATTCTTTTTGACACCGATCACTCTTCGGCGACTGCCAATTCATTTCATTCCGCTTGATCTAAATACATTGTCCTTCTCCTTGCGTTTGCCGGAGGACCCAGGTTTATTTTTACTCCTCGTGCATTTACTTTTAATTTTATTTATTTGCGGTCACTCTGTGTTGTAGGTCCAAGCAGTGCTAGTGAAATGAAAATATTAAGAAATGCTTAAATCATTGTAGACTAACTTCACGCAAAACATCTTTATCAAGAATTCCGACGTTCATCCTGACATTAAATGGGCACTAAAGAAAGAAAATGAGTTGTTTTAGATCGATGAATTGCACTATGAGACCTTTAGTGTCATAAATTTCACTGTCATAAGTTCGTTATTAGCGGAGAAAGTCAAGGTTGAAGTTTCATTTTTAAATTTCGCGCCATAATCTCCGCGTGTGACGTAAGAAACTCTACAATGTGCTTTTCGTATTTTGGCGACATTGGCACGATGAAACTTCCGAGACTTCGTGTGCAAAGTTTATGGCACCCACGGATTACAATGTACTTTATCCATTAGAAGCTATAGCGTAGGACCCAGTAGATGCCTTCAAAATTAATGACGTCACAAGTGGCGTCTACACCAGCAGTTTCTTTTCGCGCGTTTTCTTGCTTATCAGGCGTCCTGTCGCGGTAAAGAGTGGTGTTTTGGGGATTGTGAAATTGCACCCTTTACTAATGCACGGAAAAGTGTTTTGCTCTTAAGTGTCCCTCTAAACCCCGAGCAATTGTCAACTCACCGAAACACTTAGTTGATGAGAAATCCCCGCAGAGCGCCTGTATACAAGGGCACCGAGGAAGGCAGGTGTCCTTGACGAAGCTTGTACGAGATCTCTTGTATTTG